CATCCTTGGTCAAGAAAATTGACATTATCTTAGATTAGCTGGGGGGAGTTTCGATTAAGTAGTAGAAATCAATAGTGATGAAAAGTTAGGAAATCAAATGAGAACAAAATATTTCTTCCCTTCCCTATCATACAATTAGCAATAAAACCACAGATAAAAATGGGATGATTGTTTTGGGAAGAAAATGGATTTCGAGAAACCGATCAGGCCAAAACGCAACATATGACATTCGGAATTTTCGAAGAGTCGGGTAGGTGGGGCTTTGGAACATCATAAGTTGAGTGAATACTCAGTTATGCTTGGAGTCATTGATGCGGAACGGAAAAATAAGTGGTATGGAGGTGTAAATGTGGAAAGCATTTGTCTTTAACGTTCGACACTCATAAACTTACCATTATTCAGCCTATAGGTAGGTGCAAATATCCAATTATATTCGAAAAAGCGCAAATAAAACCCAATGAACCCGCCGAACAACGACGAATTCTTGGAAGATTTTAGAAAACGCAGTCAGACATTGGACGAAAAGCTGTAAAATTGAGATCTCGGCGATTTCTCATACACTTGCCCAGCTTGTACTTCTTTAATAACATTAGTATAAACGAGTACTCAACACTTGCGCTCAAATGGGATTGACCTCTCAAATTTGTACTCGCAAGTATTTTCCCCTTTTAGCTAAGTAGTTTGTACTGATTTTGAGTGTACGTATAAGCAAATAAAAGTTGTTGGTCTAAAATAGTAAATGTTGTGTTTTGAGAGTGATATGCTGTCATCGAAAAGATTTTATGAAAAACAAACTGCGAAGTTTGAGAAAAATGCCTAGGAAGGGATTATAAACACAAAGGCTAAACTAAGTTAAATAATTTGAATTCGTTCTTCACATATTATATTTTTGCATTTATACCCAATTCCATTTTTATTCTATACCCCTTCCTTCATCCCAGACCCCTCCCCCCCCCCCCCCAAGATGGGTTCGTCCCAAAAGGTTAAGTATCCTTAATATAAACATTCTCACATGCTTTAGAGAACTTTTTGAGCTTAAGTTCAGAGTATCCATGCTAAATCACATAATCTTTGATTCAACTGGCTTGGCGACTGGAAGGCGGGGCTTAGTGACCTAATTGAAGCCGCTCGCGCCCGCGACGCTGTCTGCGTCTCTCCCGCGCGCGTGCTCTCTGATCATTCTAGCCTTAATTAGGTCGCGAACCGCGTTCCAGCAAGTCAGTTGAATCAAAGGGTAGCAAAGTTGCGAGCTTATGAAGGACAGAAAACTAGAACCAAAATGCTGGTTTTAATTGAGGATGAAGCTTTTTTCAGAATTTCCAAGTATTATTGATTTTCGCTGAAAAAAATGTGAATTCAGCATTTACACAAGGAATCTCCGGAAGAAGCCTTCGGGATGAAATGCTATACATGCGAAAATTGAAAGGTTTCCCTGGTTCAAAGAGGAAGTATTGCTTTCTGTCCTGAGATGACACAACTGAAATATTAAACAAGTTCATTCCTAAAAAAATTATACTAGCTGGAGTATTTCTGAGAATTACAGTAGTCACAGAAGGTGCAAGAAAAGAATCCCAGACAAAGAGCGAAGATGCACAAAGACTGGCAGCCTAAACCCACTTACTGCTAGATGTCTCGAATGTTTTTGCCGAAAAATTCTTTGTGTGTAAAAGGGCCGCTCCTTACGAAGGAGCTCTCCAAGATGCGAACAATAGGGAGCCGCCGGCGTAGTTATGACTACTGACGTGAGAGCCAATGCGTGTATGTGTGGGAGTGTTGGGCGAGAGCTGGAGCCTTTTTCAGCTCCCCCTCCCACTTTTTTCGGGGCGAAAGCATGCCGAAGGCGGGGGGAGGAGGGGGGGAGGGCTTGCTTTGCTATTGTCGAGGTTATGGCATCAAAAAATTGAAAAAAAGGGATTAGAAGCCCAAGGATGACACTGACGGGCGAGAAAGGAGCGAATGAGAAGGAGTGAGGGGGCATGGGAAAAAGCACGATAAATAGCACTTGAATCAATTCTACCAGACTCTCAGAAATGAAGATCTATGAAGATCATTCTTATCGCTCGGGAAAAGATTAATAGTCTGATGGAAAAAAGTAATAAGCGAGAAGTTGTGCAATTGCACACAGTTGCATCCACAAAGTTCGGAACTGCCACAGAGAACAATCAACACCTGTGCAAGCAGTTGAAAAACCAAGTTCTGTGGAAGTTTAGCATTTTGCATTTTCCCCGGGGGGGGGGGGGAGGGGGAATAGGGAACAAGAGAAACTTATAAATGAAAAAGAGTAACATAGGACGCTCTATAAAAATTTGTAGGAAGATCAGAAATTTGTAATACCCTACAATTTCGCCAATGTTGTGACCCTGTAAGTTCAGAAGATAGTTTTAATAGCTAGTTTGATTTTTATAACATTTATAGAATTATCTAAATATTCAAGATCAAAAACAAATAATCTGCAAATTTCGAATTCATGTAGACCAAATGAGGAGTTCTCCGAGGGAGTGGGAGGGGGGGGGGGGTGGAGGGTGAGGAATGGAACGGCTTTCTACCTCGGTCGGCATTGCTAGCTACTCGTTACTGGAAATATGCGCTCCAAAACAAGCTGAAGTAAATACCTGGTACTGAATTGAGTGCTTAGTGTGCAAATACACCAAGTGCTCGCTGCGACATATATAAGTGAAGGATGATTGCTCAACAACATTTTTACCAATTTTTCTTTCTGACTATGATATGATTTTTACTAGAACCTTGAAATCCACCATTTAACAAAATTTTTCAAAAAATGTTATTTCTCGTCTCCTCCCTTCCCTCATCCATTCCCAAAATTCCGGTAATTAACGTAGAATTTGCATCAAACATCAAATGTATTATATGTATTTTAACCCGAATTCCAGCGGGTTAATTTTTGTTGTTCCGCTTCGCCAAACACTGACATCGAAACGGAAATGTACTTTGCTAAGGAAACCTTCGAACTTAGAGAAAAAAAACGATTGCGTCAAAAATTTGTGCTTTCTCAAACTTCTGTGAAAATGCTGCATCATAGACCAGAATTTGTGAATGAGAATATGGAATGATGCTATTCTATTATTTTAAGATATAAGACTCCATTTGCGCTCGAAATCGGAGCCGTGAGATTTCATTCGCATCTCTATCAGCAAACACCCGATCGGCGATGGAAATGGAAGATTTTGAAAAATTTTGCAGTTAATCTAGGGCAATTCGTTGAATATCTCGTGCAAGCAACCTACAGTAATCTTACAGTAATCCCTATCACATTTGCGGAGACGCCGTAAGTAAACTAAAAAAAAGTGAAAACAGCGGCTGTGAAAATGACTGTGTTGGAGAGAAACTGGCTTCTATTTTATATTTTGAAGAAGATTCATTGAGCACAGTTTCCTGCATTAATTTTGTAGTAATAAAAATTTAGCACTCTCCAAAATAAACCAAAATCAAAAGAAGATATGAAGAACGTAAAATAACGAGGATCGACTAAAAGTGAGAAAGTCTAAGACTTGTTACTATTGATAAGATAGCAGTTGCAAGCCAAAATGATAAATTGGCCCTTTCCTCATGCTATCAGACTGGTTTTTCTTGACCTTTGGAATCCATTACGAATCGCTTTTACTTCTCTGTTTTCAAATGTTTACACCCTGCTTATGTGCTCGAAATAATTGTGAAGATTATAAGTGGTAGTTGAGAGGCTAGCGACAGACAATTGTTAGCTCGCAATTAATAATCAGCCACAATCTCGAGACTAACAACTGATTGAAGGCATACAATTTGTGATGCTAGCGGATAGCTAGCATATCACTACAGCTCTACTAGACAGAGGGATTTCGAACAGACACAATAAATGTGAAATTGGTTGCAGAAAGAAATCGAGAAGCAAGAGGGGGAGGCGAGTTAAGTATGTCAACGAGATTTACGAAGAATTTAAAAACAAATCTGGCAATAAGTCATAGCAATTTCTAAGAAACATCATTTTGGCTGTAGAAATAGTGTAGGTTTACGGTAACAAGCTAAAATTGTATGCCTACATTTGGTAAGCTGATAATAAAGATAATCTAATGTATTCAGATCATTCTCAGTCTTGTTCATAAAAACCTGATAAATATTCAATGCAATTTTTAGCTGTGGTTCTCATCCTAGGCTTGCAGTAGCTCTTGAGTTTTGAGTCATACAGTTTTCGCAGAACTGCAAAATAACAGAGCTTTCTGTATGAGTCAAAGGCTTTCAGTGACCCTGTGGGGGTGATCAGCATGCTCGATTACACCCCTCTCAAATTCCAGCCCCCTAGCTCAAATTTTGCAAAAAAATTGATAAAATCGACATCGATCGATAACGAAAAGTGGACTGTGACACCCGCCGGGGCCCGAAGTGTATGTGTGCCAAGTTTGGTCCGGATCGGTTAAGAAATGGAATTTTCTATTCGGAACATACGGCGAGCCGGGTAAGCCAGCTAGTATATAATAAAAAAGCTCTTCCATCAATGTACGACAAACGCTATAATCTTGCATTCTTCTCAGACCAATTTTGAACTCAAAAATCCAAGCTTTTAGCAAGCTCATCTGTAGCCGAACCTATCTACAAGATCTTATTAGGGTGAAAAGTTATGAAAAAAAGAATTTAATGAACTACATAATCATTCATCTTGAACTATGCTGAGCATTACCACGTTCTCGACTTCGAGAGAGAAAAAACGAATCTGCCACATATGACATCTGTCACATGACGCCTTCGTTTATAGCATGGGATTTATGTATGACGTGAACATGTCGAAAAAAGCACTTCAAAACAATTAAGCGCTGCAGATTGCATTTTCACCATACACTTCTCAAATAAGAGCTTAGCAGAATTTCGTTAGAGGGCTTTAATGCTTCCCACGCTTGTCCCTCATACCCTCGGGGCTTTCGTTGGACTCGAGTTCGTTTTGGAAAAATCAGAGAGACTAAAGTTTGCCTTAGGGGCTGCCAAAAAATTTTTACTTATCTCTTCTTTTTCAGATCTTGTCACTTGATGAAGGGCCACTCAGAACATCGTTCAAATGCCTGGCGACCAGAAGAAGTGTTCCGTACGTGTGTTCAGGCACTGGAAGGACGTTGTTCACGAAGAAGTAAACAAATTCATGAGCAACGACTTGCTGTAAAAGAATTTGTCGCCAAGGTTGGCTTAAAACTTTCAAAATTCTCAATTTTTAGCAAATTTTGAGACTTCTAGGTCGAAATTATCTTGCTGAACGAGCTCGGTCGCACTTTAGAATCTGCCAACGAACCAGATCGACGCTTAATCTCCAAACTTAACAGGGTTGGGTAATTGAACTTTTCCAAATACTGCACTGAACAATCAATAAAATTTCTCTAGGCCTTGTTGTCCTACGATTCTAATGACATCGGCCTTTATCACGTTCCATCGCCTTCGCGTCCTGCATGGAAAACCTGGAATCTGGATCAAGAAGATCCTGTGAAGTATGGCTGTCTTCAGGGGATGTGGCCAGAAAAATCAATAATTAACTTTTTTAGGATGATGCAAGTGGTGGATACTGTTTCCGAGCTGCTACAGTTGCCTCGAGAAGAGAGTTATGAAGTGAGTGCTCACATTTTCTGAAATTTTTTTTCAAGCGCATGTTGCCCCTGGGTGTTTCCACATCTTAATTTAGATTTTTCGAATATTTTCGTACATTTTTACATTTTTCTAGGAAGAAGATGTCAGCCTGAAGCCTCGCAGTGAATGGAACCCACGCCATGCAGCTGAAATCATTGCAGCATCCCTTGGTGCAAAATTACCAGCGGATACATCGAGCCTTTTGTAATTTTTTTCTCAACATAATCAATCAATGATCGATCAGTTTTCTCACTTCAGCTCTCGAGGCACTTCCCCTGACAGAAAGTCGGATCTATACGAAATAGATGGGCGCCGACGAGGTAATAGTGTGGATTCATTTCGACGAACAATGCCGTTAGAACCGAGTGTCTTCGTAAGTCAGGTTAACCTTGTTGGGTTATTTGGGTCAAAAGGAGATTACGGTAAGGGATCGCATTCTTTAGGTACGGGATCGGCCATCGATGATGTCGTTTCGTGAACGTTCCGTGCCATCTGAGGATACACATACTCTTCGTAGCGTAGGGTAAGTTACTTCTAGGGTTATTTATTTCCATCTTTCATGAAGAATTGAAAATCTCGTGGAGTCGCAAAAATTCAAGATTAGTTTACAAAAAATTGCAGAATTTTTGTAATTTTACTCAAGCCATCAAATACACCCTCTGATTCAACTGGATTGGCGGATGGAAGGCGGACCTTTGGGTGCCTTCATACCGCGCCGGTAGCCGCCGCTGGCAGCCCGTAGCAGCCGCCAGCAGCCCGTAGCAGCCGCCAGCAGCCGCCAGCAGCCCGTAGCAGCCCGTAGCAGCCCGTAGCAGCCCGTAGCCGCCGCTGGCCGCTTTTGTTATAGGAACGCAAAATCATCAGTGCTTGAGAATCCTAGTACTCCTGGGTACTCTTTTCATTTTCCAAGCTTCCTTCTATTGCCAGCAGTGTGTAGTTCAATTCACATATAATATTTGTGTCCATTTCATTACCTTGACGCCGTTTGGTTCATCCTTTGAACCACAGTTCGCAAAAGTTTCTTTCCTTTGTGATTCCCTCAGACTTTGGATGCGTCCATTTTCTGCAGATTTGCAATTTGTTTTACTTTTTGAGTATGCTTTTGCTTCACTCTTCTTGTTAGATATCGATGCATATCCAAACTGCATTCCACTATTTCGCAAGTTTGCCGAATTGATTCGCGCGGTGGGTTCTTCTGACTTTGACAATCGCTCGCAATCGTTATGACAAGACAAGTGAAATGTAGGCACCGATAGGAGGATGCAAATTGCGGCAACAGAACAATGGATCAAAAGTAATGGGTGAAATCAAGCTCACATCCGCGGCAACAGAAGAAAAAGCGTACAAGATGAAAAGCGTAGGTAAAAGCAATCAAAGTAGTAAGATTCTGGTGGTTTTTCGCTCCGGATCAAAAGCGGCCAGCGGCGGCTACTGGCTGCTGGCGGCTGCTACGGGCTGCTGGCGGCTGCTACGGGCTGCTGGCGGCTGCTACGGGCGCGGTATGAAGGCACCCTTTGCGACCCAGTTATGATCGCTCGCGTCCGCGACGCCGTCTGCGTCTCTCTCGCGCTCGTGCTCTCTGGTAATTCTCTTAATCGGGTCACAAAGCCCCGCCTCCCAATCGCCAATCCAGTTGAATCAAAAGGTACCTTGGCAATATTTTGCACGGTGTCGCATTATAAAAAATGTAAGGTTAGCCAATTATTCCTGTTACACTTTAAAGGCAGTGTCCGGGCAAAAACTCGATTTTGAGATTTTGTGCTTATACGGGCCTATTCGCCATGCTGAATCCGACATCCACATTGGAGAGCGCGAAAACGGCGAAAAAGGGCTCTAATATAGGAGGGAAATTAGCAGGTGGGCGGGGCTTTCCCCAGTGCGATTTCACGCTTCCAGCTCCCAGAGCAGTTTTCTCGAATCCGTTAGCCGCCCTGACATCATTACCGATCAAGTGCAAACGAATGACTTGAAACCGGAAAAAGATCGCCCCCGAAGCTGGGAGCGTGATTTTACCGTGGGGAAGACCCCGCCCGTGCTGATTTCCCTCCAGTATTAGAGCCCTTTTTTCGTCGTTTTCGCGCTCTCCAATGTGGATTTTCGGATTCAGCATAGCGAATAGGCTCAGGTAAGCACAAAATCTCAAAATCGAGTTTTGGCCCGGACACTGCCTTTAAGCTTCAATTATGAAAAACTGCTGAAGCTTATTAATAACTCCTATGCTCTATATTTAGGGCAAAATAGGGCCGACACAATAGCATGATTGATGCTGCAAATGCACTAATAGCCAGCAAGTTCGCGACAGTTCTATAAACACACTCAAAATTCGCATTTTTCAATTTAGGTTCAGTTTCAGACTTACACTCTGAATCAAATTTCCACTTTTTTCGAGTTTTTTTGGATACGATATAAATGAATCACTTTCGTTCGTTACAGTAAGGTTACGCTGAGGACTTTTGAAACTGGAAGACCAGCATAATGTCGTCTTTGCTAATCGGATACCACTTCAGAAAACTTTCAGAACGTCTACAAATTTTTTCAGATTTTGTCTCACTGATTTCAAAAAAAAACTTTTTACATGTTTGTAAACCAGCTCAGATGCTACAACTGAGCCCCTAATTTAAATGGGAAAGACGGCCTGCAACGTATTAATTTTGACACCGTCGAGAATCCACAATATTGTTTAAGATGATTTTCTCGTGATCGGATGTTGATATTTGGAAAGGAAATTCGTCAGGATTCGAGAAATCACCAAAAATTCAGAATTTACTCTTAAGGGTCTTCTTGGAATTACCCCCGATGAGTCGCGTCGATATAACGAAAACTCTCTGAGTGAAAGTAAATTCTGAACATTTGATGGTTTTCGAATCCTTGTATTAGGGTGATCCAAAAGTAATGGGGCACCTTGATTTTTTTGAGAATTCTTCAAGATCTCTTTCTGATTAGCTATGAACAACCAGCAATTTGAACGCTTTTGTATAAAGTGACCTTCGCAGGTTATCCTGACAGCACCTTGCAGCACCTCACCGACATTCCTTCAAGCGGCGCTTCAAAAAAGTCAGACAGACTTTTTTGAACGCCATCCGAATTTGTGCTGCTGCACCTGAAGGACCCTCGACGTGTGCATACCATTCGAAAGAGCTTTCCGAATTCTTTCTAATGATTACTTGAATATTCAAAAAATGCCCATTGTTTCATACAAAAAAGGCACTTAATTCGAAAATGTGGGGTGTTTGGCGCAGATTTTTAGACTAAAATTCATGTTTTGGCCCACAATTTTTTGAAAACGAGAAAAGTCGAAGTGATACGCATATGTGTGGATAGAGCGTAAAAAGCACTATCAGAAAGCAACTGTTAAAGTTGAGCTTATTTGATTACCTTGATGAAAGAATAAGTACTATGTCTCTTGATACCAAATGCTATATCTTCTATTCTAAAGCCTTGGGACCACCGAGCTATTCTGGTTTTGGTGACAGTCCCCTCACCCATTGCTGTGCACATATCTTCGGTAGGATCACTTGTTTTACTGCGGCGCTGCTAATCAAAGTTCAAAATTGCTTGAAGCGATGAGCTCTCATTTAAGCGCTTATAAAAATAACGCCATGTGACAATGTCCAACTATAGACCTCGATCAGAAGGTTTTGTTATGTACTAACATCTGCCAAAACTTGGACTTCCAGTTAGCTTTCTATTTGAGAAAACTGCATTTATTCTCTGGATGCCCCATTACTTTTGGATCACCCTAATAGAATTTATTTTCCAAATATCAAACTCCGATACTAGAAAATCATTTTGAACAAGGTTATGGACTTCGTCAAGATTAATACATCGCAGGCAGTGGCGTACCCAGGATTTCGGCTCGGGGGGGGGGGCGCGGGCACTTCGAAAAAATTTTAGGGGGGCTTCTCAACAATTTTTCGAGCCCCCAACCCCTGAAATCTGGAAAAAGGGGGCGTGGCGTCAGCCACGCCCCCGAAAAAAATTTTTTTATAAGGCTAATTTGAATTTTTAAAATATTTTAAAAATTATTTTAATTGTTTACAAAAATAAACAAGTCATTTGCACATTTTTATAACTCACGTAAGTAACTTTTAAAAATTTCGCGACCCGTTCTCGGGGGGGGGCGCGCGCCCCCCCCCGCCCCCCCCCCCCCCTCGGTACGCCACTGATCGCAGGCCATCTTTTCCACCCGAACGAGGCTCAGTTGTATACGCAGATTTTGATAATTAGTGTGAACACCGTTGTCACTGTATAGGCCGTATCAGGCCACCATCGGTCACGCGCTAGAATGCCTTGCGAGGACGCACCGCCGCATGCGACGTGCTTTAACGCGTAGCAGAGTCCGCACGCGTCATATCGCACCGCCGCAAGTTGCCACAGGCGACGTCGCATAACCGATGCTGGTTGGTACAGCCTATAGGCGGCGGCCCAGGAGTTCCCAAAGCCTCGCCGCCTTTTCTTGCAGGGGTACTTAGCACCCCCAAGGCGTCCTCGTACTTCTCAGACGGCTCCGCCCATTTGCCCCGCCCACTGGCTAATTTCATTGCGAGTTGTGCAGGTTCGGAGAATACTTCTCAAGTGTTATGGATGAATAATGAAGGATGGAAAACAGACTAGAGTTTATGAGATCTACCATTTGGAACATGTTGCCTTTACAATATACGAACGAGAAATTTACTACTGAGAGATCTTTTGACCATGATGCATTAGTGTGGGCATCACATTGTCAGAAAATTCCTTTTTCGACTTTCAGCCGAGATAAGTGTACATATACGTTTGGTTGAAAGTATGTCTATTGAGCAAGTTGCAAGTGTCCCAAATGTCTGACGGACTTTCGACTTTTTCGATTTTTCGGTCAGTTGGATTTTTCTAGTTTTTGGTTACAACTTCGTATAGCTCAAATTTGATGCAAATAAAATACATATAGGATCACAGAATCTCTATAAAACTGAAAAAATATGACACTTAATGTCTATCTACTATACTTATTACATCGATGCAATAGTTTCGTCTAAATCAGAGGGAATCCGATAATTCACTAAAATCCAAACCTAGATTTATAGCTTGTTCAAGACGTGAGTTTTGCCCTTCAAGATAGTTACCCAAAATCAACTTTTCGTTGGCTATTCTCAAAGACAAAGAAACAGGCTTCTAAAGATTGCACTTCAAAGTTCGTAATTTTGAGTTTGGTATTGAATAGTATCAAAGTGCCGAAAGCATTCTCAAGAAATTTCTGGGATGGTCATAGCAATCTTCCGTACGTGGCAAACTTTGACCTATGGTAATGTGAAAACACAGAAACTGTGAAAAATATTCTTTTGCAGAAAATTACCTCCTTACCAAAAATATCACTCAGTGCTAACTTTGAGTACTGTAAGGCCTTCTCGGGTACGTTAAAGGGTTCCTACTTATAAAATACAATAATAAGGGAATTTACCTTCCATGATTTTCCACGAATTTTTGCATTTGCATATCTATGCTATTCCCGCACTCCGCAGTCTCCGAAGGAGACCAATAAAGGAGTAGAGCGATAGGCGGGGCTTGACCTCTGCGCGAAGGTGCGAGGAGCCTTCTGGAGTGTGAATGCTGGTGCGAATGGAGGTGCTAGGAACTCCTGCGTCCCCTCCCAGCCTATATACGTGTCTTGATTTTGTGCTGAGCATTGCGGTATAGAAAATTATGTGAGCAACCAGAAATGCTATTGAACCTGGTAACAATGTTATCAGTAGTCATTTTTTCGGCATAAAAGCCATTTACGCAAAGCTCCTCTAAAATTTCTTAACGTGATCCTATAGTAATAAAGAAAGATCAGCGATCCGTTTTCTTGTAAAGCCAAGCTGAAGCCTGCCCTACAGTATTCCTACAATTCCGTGAAAGCAGAGTTATTAGTGATCAAACGTTCGACAGAATTTTTGTTTATTTCTTTTTTCCAAAACATAAATAATAGCTTGAAAGAACTATTTTTTCCCATTTTCACAAGTTATATACATAAAAATATAATAAAACAAGATAATGACTTCCAATAATAAAGCCCTCGATAATTTCACCTTGCGCGCTACATCGTAACAATGAGTACAGCGATCCGGAATCAAACGCATCAAGGTTGGTCTTCAATTACTGAACTTCGCCACTCCCATTCGCGTAAGTTTACGCAATCCCCCCCCCCCCACCCCATAACAACCCAGAATACAACTCTCTTTGAGTGATTTCCGGCGATTTCAGATCAAATAGATCAGGAGATAATTCTCTTCATAGTGCGACCTTCTTTTTATTTACAATGGTATGATTAGTCCGGTTTTGATGCCAAGCAAATAAGGAATTTCTGATAGTTTATAACATTGTGCTTCATTATAGCTCACACGAATGATTTCGAAACGAGAAGAGTTTTTCCGAACTTTCTCTTTCACACACAAAGCTCATTGTACCTGCTTTGAGTGGGTCTCGAGACCATTTCGAGGATGGAAAGCTCGGATAAGTAGATAGCATTGACTACTGTGCTTTTTTCGACTCTTTCTTGGGAATCATGCGCAGTTCCCGTTTCGTTTGTCTCCCTTTTTTTGATCTCATTTTACCCATGCCATCTCCTCATTGAAATTTTGTCAAATGTCCATTTCTGACTCCTTTAAATTGAATACTACAATCACACCCAAACTATTATAAGAGAAGGCAGAGCATTCGCAAGTCGTCGGAATTGAGCGAATTGATTCTTATTCAGCTTACCGTGTGCTGATATGAACAGTCTTTTCCAACGTCCGTAAGAAAAATGGAGTAATCCCTTTTCGCTTCATGTAGAGGTGGGAAAAGATCTTTTACACCAGTACAGTATCCTACCGTAACCTCTGAGACTTGCAAACATACTGCGACGCGTGTTTCGCGGTGAGGACTCTACGGAATATTTTTCAAAAAATGCTTTATTATTACAGGATCTTACACTGTTCAGTAATCAATGGTTATATAGCAGAGTTACGTGAGATTACGGTAGAATATGGGTGCAAAATGGGACACGCTTATTTCCTGCCTAAAATTTCGCTTTTTCTTTGTAAAGTGCTACTTATAACGTTGGGCATTGATTATTTTTAGTAATTATTAGTATTCAAACAATATTACTTTACAGACTACTTTCCATGTGTTCTCTCTTTGAACCTGGGCATTTTCGTTTTGATTATTGTGTAGGATTTTCTTATGCCCAAACCAGGTTAATTGGTGGAACTTTATTGACTCAACGGTTCGAACAATTCGTTTTCGTCATGAGTCTGAAAAGAATCGTAGGTATTCGTACTTTCACTACACCGCCAAACGTCTCGTCAAACGCTGCCCGTTTAGACGTAACTTTAATTTAATAATTTCACAGACTACTTTTTACCCACATGTAAATGGAACCTTTTCTCCTAACGATAAGTCATCTACCCCTCCCCCCCCCCCCAAAAAAAAAATTCATGTGTTACATCTGATATAATAACAGTCCCTGTCATGCAAAACATTTGACGATGATGTTTCTGACTAGCCTCGTGTGCAGCTTCTAGAAAACACTGCCGATGCCATTCAAACATTCATAGATGAGGCTGACGATGACTGCCGGAATGAGGCATCGCTGTGCCTTTCACGTTCGCCTCGCAATCGTCCCCGATCATGGAAATTTCCAGTTTTCTGTTTACAGTCAATTGAACAGTTTTTCACGCTCGATTAAAGTACGCTGCATAAGTCCAGTTCGCTCTAAAAGTATAGCGCAAAGTTAGCCAGAAATTGTCGTGGATTCCCAAACATCGTGTGCCAAACTCTCGTTAGACACGCTGTTTACAAGCTATTTATTCCATGGAAAATTGCCTGCACTCGGTGGGCTGCTCGACTTCTCGTCTATTCTTCTTCTGACTACTGGTTTTGCTCTGAATCGATTCAGTCGCGCATAATATCAGTCCATCTCGAGAGCTGTATAGTCGCTCTTCTGATTCAGCGACGATCGCTGTTTTGCACTATTTGTTTAGTTTTTGCACATATACAAGTTTTACGATGCAATTTTTGAGAAGTTTTGGAAGTCAAAGGGTTTACATTTCCCGAAATTTCCCATGGATCGTTGCGAATTGTGGGGTTATTTGATCGGTCACCAAACCTCAAAGAACACCGACCGTAAATTAGGCCCATTTCTTTCAGCTCTTCTCCTGTTTCTGTAAGCTATAACTTCTTTGTAATCTATTCGGTATTTCTGCGCATTGACCAACCTATAGAAAGACCCATATTCTTCTCAAAATATCTATTAGGTTGAACCGAAAGTTCTGTCGCACCATTTTTAAAAAATCATAACTTCTTTCGATCACGACGATTTTGCGCAATTAAAATTTATCAGAAAGCGTAAAGCATGTAGTTTCCAAAAGCTCCTTGGGAAGTTTCCGACATGCTCAGGTGGCAGAGATAAAAATGAAAGAACGAGATTATCCGAAATTCGGAATTTTCAAGCAAGAATTCTAGAAATTCAGAAACACTGCGATAAAATCCAGAAGAGCCATTATCCTAATTTTTCTTACATTTGATTACTATCTGAGTCAAGTTTATGCTGATCGAGGTCTTCTTTCAGAAGTTATGAATTTTTGAAAAAAAAATGCCAAAAAATCCATTCCTTAAGAATTCTTAGGAAATTGATTTTTCGGCATTATTTTTCAAAAAGTTATAACTTTTGAAAGGAGGGCTCGATCAGCACAAACTTGACTCAGATAGTAATCAAATGTAAGAAAAATTAGGATAATGGCTCTTCTGGATTTTATCGCACAGTTTCTGAATTTCTAGAATTCTTGCTTAAAAATTCCGAATTTCGGTTGATCGCGTTCTTTCATTTTTATCTCTGCCATCTGAGCATGTCGGAAACATCCCAGGGAGCTTTTGGAAACTACATGCTTTACGCTCTCAGGCAAAATTTGAATTGCGCAAAATCGTCGTGACCGAAAGAAGTTATGATTTTTTGAAAATGGTGCAACAGAACTTTCGGTTCAACCTAATATTTTAACATGTCGAAGAAGGCTAGTAGCTATACGTAGTTCAACCTTTTTGCAACCTTTAGGTTGTTTTAGATGAATTGAATCAACTTCTTGAAGTTATTATAAATTATAAGTTCAAAAATGAACATTTGTGTCTAGCGCGCGGGAGGACCGAAAATTTCAAGTACCTGATTATTTAGAGCGAATCAAACTCAAAAATCTATCATAGTGGGTTTTCAATGACAATCAGCATCTGTATTTCCAAAGCTCCGGAGGTCTCCATGCAGCTATATGTTTCAGTTACCAAAATCGAAATTTCTAAAAATTTTTGTCAAACCGAAGACAACTCAAATCCAAAAATAATGCCTTATTTTGAAAAACTTGCTCTATTTGCCTGATGCAGATTCTTCTTCTGAAGTTTCTAGTTAAGATTTCGAAAACCAACAGAATTTCGAGCAAGTAATTATGGCTGGTGAAGAATTTTGGCGGTTAAGTGGAAGTGTTTAGAAGATTTTGGTTTATGAGCATATTCGTTGATAACAAAAAATATTTGCGTTGAAAGCTGTGTAAATCTATAGTGTAACTACTAAAAATTCCGTTCCATTGCTCTCCTTAGATGGTTTTTATTTTCCAGCTTCTTCGGATTTCCGCAGTAAAGAAGGGCCTAGAATGTTTTGGGATTTTTTATTGTAACAGCCTACGGAAGATATTTTGGTATCTGCCAGACACCTTATATTTCCCCGAAGTTTGGAATATTTTAGCGCTTAACCGCAGCCAACTTATAGCAATGTGAGGGCCATTGAAATTTCTAGTGCTCCATGTTTGAGCCGCATTTTGCATCGTGCTTCCCACAAAACGTAGAGCAGGATTTGTATTTTACACTTGCGCAGACGTTCTACGTTAGTTATCTCAAAATTCGCGATTTATGTTGATTACATATTCCTTATAATTGCTAGAAAAACAAGCTATTATGCACCGCAAACTGACAAACGCTCCTCCTCTATGCGTTTCAACGACTTTTTTATCGCTCTTTTTCTTTGCGAAAAAAGTAGAAAATCTGCATGAAGGCAATTTGTCAAATGCGAAACAATCGTCACTTTCCCTTTGTTCTTCCACAATGCAAACAAGAAAACTAAAACTATTTTGTAGAAACTGAAATGAAAAAGTCGATATATTGATTTTTTGGCAAGTAACTTTTTGATTTGTCATTTTGCAAGTAGAAATCTTTACGTAACAAGTTTTCCTAGCAAGACAAAATTTCTCACTTTCAAATGCATTGCACTCCTAAGCTGCTGCTTTGATGAACGTCTTTTTTACACCTGCAAATGATCTCATTAGTATAAATCATCAAGCTACTTCTCACCTACATCAACCGAGTTCCCTTCTCATTTTTCTCAGTTAATGAAGTCATCCTTCCTCTCCTGCTTTGAAAAACTTTCATGAATCTCTAATTGACGACTTTTTTCAGATCGCCAGCGCCATCGCATACAAGCGTCGAGTCAAAACCTGGCTCGGTGATGTCTTCAATACCAGCGTATCCTTGCGATCAATCGCTAGGAAGTGCAGGAGTAAGTTTTTTCCAGTTTGAGGAGTATTTTTCATGATGTTATTTTGGCATTATTTTCGCTATTTTATCAAGTATTTATTTCCAATTGTCAAGAAAATGCCAAAGAAATTTTAACACTACCATTAACATCTGAAAAATCCATCAAAACAGCCTATTATGATGCAAACTGCATGCTCTGCGCTCGGTCGCAGATTCGCGCTCTGGCCGTCTGCGTATCTCACATCCGTATGCTCTCTACTACGAACGTCGACTGACAACCGCGCGCAGAGTGGACTTGCCTTTCGCACCTTCTGCGCCTCTAACTCAGCTATACATCCTTTTGCATAATAGTTAAGTTTAGAACCTCATGCTTGTTTTTATTTTGCGCAAACTCTCAAACTAGTACTCTTATGTTTTTCTCTTTAAAAAATTAGAACCTTCTATAATTTTCGACTGCATGCTCCGCTAATATTGTATCCTATCAGTACGAAAAACGTATGCATTGATTTGTTGCCATGTCACACTCTGGCTACCTGCGCAACTCTTTTCTGCGTGCTTTCTTAACCCTAGCTTCGTTTTACAACCGCAGCGATCGACGTGACTTCCGTATCCTCCGCGTCTCTGACCCATCCATACATATTTTTACATAATGCTTGAGTCTAAATCATTATGTCATCCAAAATTGTCACGCTCTTTTGTCACTCTTCTCCCTAACCCACAAAACTACGATTTTTTTTTGTATTTCTCTTTCAAGAAAGCTAGAACATTTTTGCTATGGATTTTCGGTCGCAAAGTTCGCAAATATTCCCCCTTTCAATGCAGAAAATGCATGGCTTGGCGGTCTTTGCAGCTTCGCTCTAGCCGTCTGCGTAACTCATGTCTGCGTGTTATTTCCGTCATGAGCGGTCACCTCGCAACCGCGCCGCAGCAGCAGACAGACGCGACATGTGCACCTTCTGCGTCTCTAATTGATCTATATATCCCTCTATATACCATTTAAAAGCCTGACATCTTTGAAAATATTCAAATTTTAGTCATCCACCTCTCAAGCTGTTACACCAACTCCGCTGAACATCAATGGTTCGGCTACCGAAGGCAGTTCAGCTACGATTCTTCCAAACAATACTGCTACTAAATCTGAACGTATTCGAGCCTTTGGCAAAGGTTTTCTCACACGACCCATATGTGTACAAGCGTTTAGTACAAAAACTCTACAAAATCATCTGGCTGTGTCGGACAGTTGCGGAGGTATAGCTTACAAATTTTATTTTTATTTTTTCATAATTTCGCTTCTTCCAGGAGTCTATATCACCGATGTGGAGGGAAAAATAAAAGAACACGTTCTTGTAAAGAACTCATCCGCTAGTTCGGTAGCTATCGATGAAAAAAGCGATGTGATGTAAGCATTTTCAGTTTAGACAACCAATCAATAAAATCAATAATGTCTGCTTTCTAGGTACGTGAGTATAATGCAATCGAAAGGTCGTTCTGTCCATGTTTTCGACATCGCAAACGGCTTCAAGAAACTAGACGTTTGTTCTTTTTTCCGTATAAATTTCATAGGTTGCAACTTAGTCTTTAGATAATTGTGTGCCCAAAGGATCCCAAAATAGAGATGAGCCGAACACGATGGCTCACCGTTGGTCCACGTGGACAACTATTTATGGTTAGCGGTGACAATGCAAAGAGTGCCTTATGGTGCTACATTAGAGCAAGAAAAGTGAGCAATTAAAGGGATTTCTGGATTTAATCGACGCTAAAATTATTTTTGTGTCATTTCAGGCCTGGAAAACGCTAAAAGAATCGAGAAAAACACGCTATCAGTATCTGAGCGTTGCTGAAGATCAGGCAGAATACAAGTAAGATTTTGAGCATAGTAAGAGAATTTTTGGTAATAATTGCGAAAAAATACTTGACTCTAATTTTTTAAACTATGTGCAGTTGCGTATCTCCCAAAGTTAGGTTTATACTGTCTTTTACCGTTACTACTGGAAAAATTGCTAAGGACTGAGAAGGTCATAAAGAGAAATATGAACTACAATTCAATTTTCAAAAATTTTAATTCTTTTACAGATAAATAGGAAGAAATTTTTACGTGCGCCTGTCTCTGACATGAATAAATTATCCGTTTTTTGAGCATGCTTACAAAAAATTCATTATCATCGTCTTGGTTAGCAACTTGGTGTTTTATGGAATATGGGGAGTGCATACTCGTCCGCGTGCAATTCAGTTTCATCTCTGATTTGCCCATCACTCAAAATTGGAAAGTGAGCCACTAAACTCGGCGTTTGATTATCATGGACGAGTTTGCTCGCTTCTTTGATGTAGAGCTAGCAAATCAGGCAAAATCAATCAGTCACTGTAATCGTTGTAAAGGCTAGTCCCGGACGAAGGCGGATGATTCATCGTGGCATAAGCGGCGTGAACGCGGCGGCGTCGTGCGTATTACTGCTGCACGCATGGATTGTACCACGAGAGGGCGATCACCACTCACGAGTCGCGTTTGCGTGCACTCACGCGTATATGCTTTCGCCTTCGTCCGGGACTATCCTTATGTCATTTTGGCAGGAAAGAAGACGACCTTTTTGCATGGCAGTAACCAACAGCTACTCTCTTGACTTGTCCTGACACGTTGCGCAGGCAGCAAAGCTGTTCTCTCCTTAGGCAGAAACGGGTAGGGGAACGACGCCGCCAGTTTGGGCCACCTCCGCGGACTACTGGTCCTGGAACGATATGCAACAACATTGCAAAAGGACCAGTTGGCCGCCAAAGGCGGCTCAAATTAGCGGCGTTCTTCCCATACGTGGGAAAAATCGCCGCGGCCCAAAGCGTGAGGACTGCCTGTTGCTGAAACGTCAAATTTCATGCTTATCCTTCGTTATTTCCAGAGCCGTCGTCCTACTCACCTGTGATGCTGCCAATAATCGATTGCTTCTATTCGTCATCGATCATACCATATCGCTCATTAACGAATATGACCTCAGTAAGACATATCGACTAGGCGAACACATCACTAGCCCTGCTTCGGCCATTGTTGATGGGGTACGGTAGCTTGGAATGTTTTCTTGTAGAAAAAATTATAACTGCTTGTGCCTTTAGTACGGTAACCTTCTCGTATTGGACTATGCGAACGGCAAGTTGTGGATTCTCCTCTCAGGGGTGAAGGGGATCCGCCGTCTCAAGGAAATCCACTTCGATGAACCGTTACGCGCTCAGGAAGCGTTGGGAATCAGCGCTAGTGTGAGTCGATTTACTAGAAAATTGCATTTTGTTGAATTTTTCTCTCTTGATCGATGAAAATCTTTTATTTTTAGGGTGACGACGTCTATGTGGCGTGTTTCAATCGGTGCGAAGTGCGAATCTTATCCTACCTTGAGGGTGGAGTATTCACCGCTTTGAACGCCGCTGCCGTCCGTTCGCCGTCGCACACGCAGCGCAGTGCCAGCCTTCCGCGACCGCCCGAAAGTCAAGTATAGCCACCACAAAGAAAATACCCTATACACCACTCTCCCCTTAACGCTAATCACTCGGGTTGCGAAAATTTATGAGAAATGCTATTCGCCAAAATTCTATAGCTTAGCTAGGCTTTTTCAAATGTCAATTATTCTGCCAAATGTAGTAGAACTATTAGTGCATAGCACATGTACGCTTATTATTCCGATAGATGTTTGCTTACTCTGGGACAGACACGCCCCTTCGCATAAGCTTCTTCGCTTAATTTCGTACACATAAGAAACACTGACAAAAGATCCCTCCACTGAATTCACTTATTCGAGTTTTTATCGCCCCATATTTGTGCCTTGTCACCTTCGTAAATTTCGACGTATGCTATAGCAACGATGGTGATAATATACGAGGAAAAACTTCCTTTGCTCTTTATGGATTGTTATATATTTTACCTTAATAAACATTAGAAAGAAATGTTTGTGTGAACAATAATCAGAAAGTGAGAGTGTGAATAAAGATGAAAGCAACTCGTTGCATTGTAACTTGCGTAAATGCAGCATCAAAGACGGGTCATCGCATGCAGAGAAGGATGCCATTGCGGACACTCTCTGACCCTAATCTCTATTCCAAACAAAATCCCTTTGTCAGACGTAATGTTGCGACGGTTGCGTGTGATGGCTCGTCTACACATGCTTCTAGGGAGATAATATTACCTCATTGTCAGTAAGTTTCAGGTTCACATCAAATTCTCCTCAAGAAAAGTACCGAATTCTATGTGTTGAGGTAACTTGAATATATTTAGAACAATAACCCTCGAATACCAAGAGACGCACTATACTTGATGACTGCCACGCGGGCTTATAGTTGTTGGTACCTCAACCAAACTTGGGTAATTAAACCGTTTACTTGGAAAACCGAAAACTATAAAAGAAAACCGACAAAATAACATAGAACAAAGTAACATGAGACTAAAACCACATAACAAATACAAAATGAGTAGTAATACTAGATGATACACAGGAATAACTGATGAAAAGGATATATGAGGCAAACATAATGGCTACGATACTTGTTTATCCTTTCCTACGCAATACTTGATTTCCATACTTGCCTTTTTTACTGGTTTTGTATGATTGTTCTTGAAATTAGAAGAAAAAAGCACAAAAACTACTCAAACTACTCAGTTCAGCCAATATCAGTCTACCGTAGCACATGCTTATATACTTTGATAATAGATGTCACAGGAAGAGACGAAAGAGAAATGCAGATCATGAAGAGTAACAAGAGTGATGAAGCAGCTGCGCTCGACGTTCCTCGAGGTTATCATCTTCCGCGATGCTGGGAAACTGACGCGCAAGCATTCTCTCTAAAATAAACATAACCACAAAACAAGAATTCAGCTCAATAATTACTTGTGTATCGTGGAGTGATTCCCTGTGTATAGTAAGTAGTTTCACGACATTCTAGGCATAAGGAAGAACTTGATGAGTCAAGCGAATAAGAAAAGATAATGGTTTTCTTGGATATCAACCACTTTTTAGCTTGTATTATGAAATGCTACAGTGGTATTTTGAGTCGCAATGATGACTGAATCTAAAATTTACCATAAGGGTGTGCCTTCAGCAAAAACGAAAAATGATTGTCTTATTGCGAGAAGTCTGCTCAAGTCATCCAGAAACCGTATTCCTGCCCAATAAGGAGGATAGAACTCAAAAAAGGACAGAATTCAAAAAAATCGTACGGATTCAACAGGCTCTTCTGCAGCAAGCAACGATTTGCCAAAATTAGTATGAGCGGTTTTGCAAATGTGCATAATTAAATGTGTGAATTTAGAAAATGTGAAACAACCAGTAGAACAAATAATACCGTACATTTGAACCTACAAGCTAAGAAAGTGAATGAAAGCATGAAAAACAAAAAATATTCACAGCATGAGAGATTCGAAATGTCAGTGAGTTGAGACCATTGATGGGCCAATCCTGTCCACGCACATTATTTTTCAAAAACTTTGCATGTGTCTGATTTGAGTAGATAAGCTGTCGCAGCTAAAAATGGCTTCCTCTGCTTGTCTTGTTTATGCAGAAAATAATCCAACCACGAATAGAAATTAAAAGGAATCGAAGGTTTATAGCAATTGAATTCTTGAATGTTCTGAAGATATCTTCGACTTGGCTTTGTCATTGTATCAAATTTAAGTTCGCTAGCTTCATTTACGTAAGCTACATGTTTGAAGAGGAATTGATTTTGCAAACATCATGTAGGCGGCAGTGTTTGAATTTCTATTACAACCAAAAAATGATGTACTGAAAAAGAGTGTAAATCAAGGAGAAACAATAGAAGCAGACAGACGGTAACCCACCATAACCATGAAGCTTGCAAAAAGTACGATTCTGTCGATTTACGCTGTATGAGTCATAATAGTTAAAAACAATCTTGAATTGTGTTCGGCTGAGTATTTCTACCTGCTAATCATGCACTTCAAACATCTGCGACAACATCATGACGCAGAAAAGAACAGTTCTGCACTTTCCTATTATTGCGCATGTTAGATCATTTACACTGTTAATTGATTTATCAATGATTTTTCTCAAATCAAGCCAAATTCGGCGATCATGTGCTCAAAAAAGAATTAGTGTAATGTGCCTGATTTAGTTGGGCGATGTAATCGGAGTCTTTTGCTCTCCTGGACAGGGCATCTGCGGTGCTTCCAGATCACTTGCGTGGGGTTTTGGATCTACCTTGTGCTGGAATTGATCCTTGGGCCTATGGACTTTGTCCGGGTCTCTTAGCCTCTGCGCCATTCCACCCACCACCTCCCCAATCAACAAAAATTGTTATGAAATGTAAGATCTAAGGTCAAATTTAAGATCTAGGTGATCTAAGATCACCTAGACCAATGTTTTGCTGTCTCCCAGACAGTCCACTTCTGTATCAGATGCCCTAAATTTGAAAATTTTGGTATGGCTTGAACCGGGACTGATCCATGATCTTCCCTACTATGCCCTCGCGTTGTGGCACTACGCTATTCACACCACCATCTCTTCATTCTGAATAGGTTTAACAAGTGATTTATAATGTGCGTTTGAACGTAATGCTAAAAAATTTGGAGAACGCACAGCATTCTGCAGCATTTCTTCACTAGCAATCCTACGTGGTATGCTTACGTCCAATAATACAAATCAACCATAAAACTTAATTTTTTTTACTTTAACAACTTTTTCCAATGAAGAACAAGAATGTTTGCTTGTCAGTAAACCCTGATTTCCTTCCGTTCATATTGTTATGAGGTCTATAGATCACATTTGGTTGTCATTTATGGTATAGTTTATTCTTCGCTGCGACCATCATTTCCGGTGAGGAATCCCATATACAGCGGTGATCTTTCGCTACGTTCATCTTCTGTCCTGACATTTTTATAGTAAGAAAGCTGAGCGAAGGTTGAGAACTGGCCGGACTAAGGAAAATGTTTGGTGGCTTGGAGTCACGGGTGACGTTTTGAAAAACTTTCAGGCTTCTGAGAAAGACGAAGGCGTCGAAACGTTAGGCCGTTATTGAATAATAAAGACCGTCTGAAAATCTGTGTGACTCAAAACACTTAGAGAACCATAAAACTGTCTGTGATAGAGTAAGTAGACTTAGATGTAAAGTCTTGCAAAGAGGTGCTCATCCTTGGAAGATGGAAGATTCCGAGAAAATTTATTCTTTGTTACGTGTGTGTATAGAAACGCAAATAACTCCTGCTTTTAACTTACTCACTTACTTACTTACTCGCACTTACTTTTACTTACTTTACTTTTACTCACAGCAGGCTGTCATATGGCTTTGCGTGATCGCAAGAGTCACTGCGGCGGCTGAGTGCGGCTATTGCAAACGCAGATGCTACAAGGCCTCAAATCAGTTAAGCAATTCCGTACTTTTCAAACTCGTATTTAGGCAATTAAAAGCTAACATCTGATAGCAGAAAAGCGTTTGAAAGGAGAAAGATAACTGATGAAGCTCAATGCGTCTGCAATGACCGCAAACTCACCGACTTTCGCGACCACGCAGAGCCCTATACACAAATTGGAACGTACACAAAATTAGAATTGTTTATTATCGTGGTTCATTGTTATAAGAGTAACAGTAACATAGACACAATGTGCAGGCTACGGAAAGCATGGATTGCGTTTCCCAAATTTGGATAGTATCACAATTTACAATATGCTGTAAAAGAGGTAATCAACATCTGAGGCTATAATTGAATGTTGAAAAAGAAAAGAAAATTGATATTTCCATTGTTGTTCTTCAAGGCACATTATTAACAGGTACCAGAAAAAGAGGATCCTATAAGACATTCGTGAAGAATTTTGCATTTCCCTTCTGACAGAGGAAGCGAAGCTACAACGTTGCCTTTCAACATTCACATTATCACAGGATCATACAAGGAAAGGACAATGATGATTATATGGCAACATGTTTCCTTTCAATAAGTTTTTGAAAAGCAATTGAAACACTTGAGAACGGATAGACAAGATGGCACACACTCCCTCAAACTTCCGGATATGAATCTTCCTTTCAAGCTGCACTCTTCTTCCCGGCAGTAAACAGATTATGTACAACGACTAACTTCAATCACCTTATCACGTGAGAAATTTACTCCGGGTACTTCAACTACTTTTTGCAGACAAGATTCAAGAAGTCACTATGGTGCCTGAGGAAACAGGATCATAAACTGAACTATAAACTGATAAAGTATTTTTGAGATACAGACCTCATGCGCGTCTTCACTGGCATTTATACTCCCATCATCTGATGGCATTGCCATGGTAAAGATCAAGGCTGCTGAACGCTGATAGAATAAGACTCATGTACAAGAATCACAAATCCTGAAACATTCCATGTAGTGATAATCTTACATTTCATCTGAGCGGATAAAATAGCGAAATTTTAATGAAGCCGGTTGTCACTAGAGACGAGTAATCAACTGATTTGAAATAGAAACCTGCAAATTTCTCGTCTATTTTCGCACACACAGCAATTCCAACCACCCCACTGCAGCGATAGTTGAAAACCAAGGTCAAGCAGGAGGTGTGGCACACGATCGTCAAATACGACCCCGACCCCCCCCCCCCTAAACTATTGCATATCGACAGATACGACCCTCCCCCAGTTGTTGTCTTAATAAACCCCCCCCCCCCTAACCTACTGCCTATTTGACAATGAAATAGGCATAACCTAGATCCTACCAAGCATGATTTTATTCACAGTCAGCATGTTAACTAGCTGGGACCATGTTCGAGCGGATTCTGAAGTCTCCGAGTACTGAGCTACCTGATCAAAATGGTCTTTTTCGTACATAATTAGCTTTGATTAAAGGTGAGTTAGCTGTTTCTTTTGGCACTCAATACAAAGCACTACTCCTTCTTTGCCCAACTTAGGAATCCAGCTCCAGAAGACCTTCGAACTGTGGATTTAGAGGCCAATCAAATTCTTGTTT